GCTGCGTTCAGTAGGGCGAATATCATTGCAACTGTTGTAAAATTCTTTAATATGACTGATTTTGCTCTTAATTTCTCACTTGATCTAAATATAATAACCAATCATATTCAAAAATTTTACAACAATTACAAAGTTGCTTTTTCTGATGAACACAGCCAAAGCCGTTATTAGATTTCAGTATTCATATTCAGTATTCAGTTGCAAAGTTGCTTTTTCTGATGAACACGGTCAAAGCTGTTAGTATTCAGTATGAATATTACGAGTGGTGGGGAGATGGATCAGATTCAATTGTTGCGGAATGGATCCGTTGCTATTCTTTTAGATCATCCAATAGCAGCGAGCACTCACGATTTGCTCCGCAACAGTTAAATCTACTGAACGCGATCAAGTTATTTTGTCACCCCTTCTATCCCCTCCATCCCTTCACCACTTGCAGAATTCATATAATACATCTGAAATCTGGAAATCGATACATAACGATTTCACAAATATTAAAAATAATTCATATATATAAATAACAAAAGATAATTACATAATTACATTTTTAAAGTTTTTAAATTATTATTCTTCTATAAAAACTTTTAACAATAATATATCAGATCTGTATTCCGATAACATAAATTATGAAATTCTAAATGAGTTTTGATATATTGAAATGTAAGGCCCGTATCAGTAAAAACGGTACACGATAAGCACCGTCTAATGGTTCTGAGCCTTTCACAAATTTCTCTTGCATGTTTATAGTATTTTTTTCACACAAACATACGAATTATATATACTTGTGTATCTCAACATGCTGAATAATAATTTCTTTCTTATTTTAATTACTAATTTAAAATATAATAAAATATGATATAATCAAGTGTGTAAAATTAAATGTTAATATTATACATATAGATTTTATTTAAGTACTTACTGGCTAAGCAAGTCCGTATTAGTCGTTTTTAATATTTGTATGTAAATGCATTTTGAAACAAGCTTCTTAGAAAATTTTGTCATTAAATTAGCTAATCGATGAACTTCTTCTCTACTCTTAATACCTCCTGTTGAGCCCAATAAAACGCTAAGACATTTGAGTAACGATAGAGGATCTATACGTGGCTGAAATACAAATTTAAAAAGAAAAACATTAATATATATGTATTTATAAAAACAAAAATTATAAAAAATAAAAGATATACAAAGTACTTATTTAAATCTTAAGAAAAACTTAAGTTTTCAGCCATGGAGACACATTTTTTATTATAAAGCTTGAATAAAAGTTTTAGGTGAAGATTTAAAATAAACATAAATTTTTTACTATTTCTTATCCAAAAAATAAATTCTTTTATCACATAAGAAAGGATCGGGAACAATTGAAGATTATAGACATTTCAGACTATTCTAATAGTCTGATATAAATATGTGAACAATTAGCTTACAATGCAGTATTAAATTTATGATTTATTATTGTAAAGATATTTCATTTAAAAAAGTAAATATTTATAATTTATTATATATATGTTGTAAAACTGTATTTTGTTTTCCATGATTAACATTCACAGATAACAAGACAATATAAGAAGACAATATCAAATAACAATAATGGAAGTTTTAAATAAAAATCAAATAATCATTGTATATAATTTTTCTTGTAGACATATATCAATATATCTATGAAATATCGAAATAATTAATCATAAAATTAACAATGTAAGTCAATCAAATCTGAATTTTGAAAGTCCAAATTTCCACAAGACAGTCAGTCTTTAATATTATCTTGTGATTTTTATAAGTTATAAAAAAAGTACTTTGAACTCAATCCTCATAAAGATATTTTAAATGTGTTAAATAAAAGTCATTAACTTAATAGATTGGCCAATGGCCAATTTTACATTATTTATTACAGTACAGAACTATGTTTTCGCGATATGATTATATTAATATTTCAAAAAAATATTAGTGGACAAATCACAAATAAATTTCATTAATAATTAATATTCATATATATATATATATATATGTCATTGCTAAAATAATCTTTTTATATATAGATTTCTGTATATATTTTTAATATATTTTAAATATAAATTAAATAAATTTAAATAATTCACAAATTTTTTCTTTGATTTAAAAGTAACCTTCACCTCTTTCTTTTGTACATTGTTAAATTATAAAGATAAATTTTTATGAAAATCATACATAAAATCAATCTTTTTATCGCGTATTTTATGTTACACAAAAAAAAGTAAATAAAAAATAAAAAAATAATCTCTTCCATTTGTCTACCATTATAGTCAGATACGAAATTTATATTATACACCCACAAGCAATGACAAATTGAATAATTTCATACGTCGGTAAATGCGCCAAGGTTTCGTAACGGAAAAAGTAGAATACGAGGTCGAGAGAGGGGCAAAAGGTTATTGATCCTTCGTGGTTTGCCGAGCTAAGTGGCGCCATCTCTCCTGAATTATGCGTTTGTCAGATAATTCATCACGTTCGTGATAAAAGTAAAAAAAAAAGGTATATTATGTATGCCATACTCACCATTTTGCTGATATTCAAGACGTTCTAACGCATTTTCATTACACTGGACGTGAATCGATCCTCAAAATCATCCGCGCGCGCGTCTGCAATGAAACGTAAAATACTTTTATAATTACATCCGGCGGCTCGAGCAAGAAGCGACGCACTCATCACGCCATATTGTAGAATACATGTTCTCGCAAGTTCGCTCAAAACGTAAACCGGCCGACCGGCAAACGTATCGCGGGATTTCGATCCAATTCGTCGCTCGATTGTCAGAATTCTGTTCGAGATCAAGCTTCCGTTATTATTTCGTCTACGAAAATTAGAACCGCGTATCGCGCAATAAAGATAGACGCCATAACGAGGACGTCGGACATTTCGTTGTAAGAGCAATTCCCCGACGAAGTTCTCGCATCTGACCTATTTATCGCTCAATAAGGTTTAGGATTACGTAATTTACCATATGTCATTCTCTATCGCTCTAAAATAGATACGTTAGCGAGAATTGTAAAAGCTCGTTAAAAATGCTTCAAAGACGTAGATGAGGATAAAACGAGGTGCTGCTGATCCGCAACGGTAATTCTCACACGACTAGCTCGGCCGCTCAATGCGCAGCCGCGAGCCGCCCTGACGCAGAGACCCCGTTCACCCGCCGCGTGAGCGACCAATCGAAATCGCGAACGCCCCTCCACCGCCCAGCCAACACCCGTGCTTTTGTCACTCGTCGCTGTGACGAATCTCTCTCCCTCCCCCCGCCCCTCCAAAGTTCTATTCAATCTATTTATATAACACAAAAAACGATCTGGAGTCCATAGTTCTCGCATTAGTATCTAAAAGGAAAAGAGGTTCAGCACTTTTTTTTTCTTTTGCTATTTTGACACTCGTTTAATAGGAAAACTTAACGATATTCTGGCACGATCAGATTATGACACTTGCAAAGACGTTCTTCTCGCAAACCCTCTTAGCTCAATACCCAAATCACGAATGCGATTACGTCACCAATAGTCGACATGATTCACCTTCGGTCGAATGATAACGCTGTCTCTTATCACGTCGTCGAACATCCGTATAATGCCACGATTACGCGAGACATAACTTAGAAGTCTTACAACCATCAGAAATTGATTGGATATCTCGATATCACTCTGCCTTTACTAAAGTATCATCTCGACACTTTTGGTGGAAATTGTAATGCTAATTATAATCTCTTTGTCTTTGGCTTTTCTTTTTTTTTTTTGTTTGTTCTATATGCTGGAGAATAGAAATAGCCACTCACATTGATTAAAATTAAATCCTTTTTATGGAAAATAAATATTCACGACTGATGCAAGAAACCATATTCTGAATATATCCTAATATGGAGTAGGTATCCTGATAATAAGAATGCCGCCAGCTGCTCGTGCGGATTCTTCCTGTTTGCATCCACGGACGCTACGCGACCCTCATACGTAATCCGCGCACGCCCCGCCGTCCATTTTCCATCTGCAATTAAATGTCGTCTAGAATCCGTCGCCGTTACCATGCACACGTGTCCGTTCGTTATTTCGCCTTCGCCGCTATATATAATTAGACTTTGACAACTTTTAAGACGCTCCTCACCTGACTGCGTAAAACCGCCGCAATCAACGAACAAGGCGGAAATGCCCGTTGCCCGGCTACATTCTTCCATCAGCTAGTCAAATTATGACTTCGGATGCGCATTCAATATGCGCATTTCATACGTTAACTTTTGTACCATAGCATAAAAATAAATTGTTTGCGATTCTGTTCAATGAGCAACATCAAACCGGGATAAGTTACGTTAGTACTATATAAATTCTATTTAGAATTTGTATTGACTCGATTACATCGACATACGTTAACCGGAAAGACGACGCGTTTATGCCTTTGTGGCATTTATGGTTCGTATTGCGTTCTAGTCACAAATGGTTTGTTTCTGTTCCTGCACTAGATTGCACTAGCACTCTCTTTCTCACTTTAAACAAACATATACCTTATATCAACCATATACCTATCTTACTTCAAGTTTCGAAAGTGTACACTAGTTCAGCCACAGAAATAGATCTAAGGCTGAGTTTTCACTTGACGCTACGACGCTCATTTTCAGCGCCAAGTGGAAGCCTAGCTTAAAGTGGCTAAATGAGTATGATTGGTTGTTACTTAGAATCGGACGGAATCAGACGCATTGAAGAATGAGATTGAAGAGTGTAAGAGGCTCCGCACAATAAAACTGTGCATTCCACAATACATGATTTCTGATAGGTTGAAATTCTCTATTGTCTGTTCCCTGTTCTTTTTATTGTGTGGAGATTAAGTAAGATTGAAGTTTGACCAATCAGAACAAAAGAAGCCAAAATTTCTTTGTCCTCATTGGTGAAATTTCAATCTTTGATCTTTAATCTTCAATGCAAGTCTGATTTCGGCCTTATAGATCCAACCAATCACATTCAATCGCTTCGTGAGCAGGCTAGCAGCTTTGTCTGGCTTGAATGCGTCCACTGATTTCTGACATTGGCCTAGTTTCCACCGAGGGTTTAAACCGGAAATGTCGTTTAACTTTAACAGGGGAATACTCGACTGTAGTGTTGGTTGGTTCTTACATTCTGATCTGGTTTAGGGTGCGATCGAGTTGCCACTACAAATACTTCGAAGCATTTTTTGATTGGTTAAAATCCTTTCTTCTGATTGATTAATCAAATGCTTCGAAGCATTCGTAGTGGCAACTCAACCACACCCTTAAACGCTTAAACCCTCGATGGAAACTAAGCCACTGACATCGCAGCCAATACGGTAACAAGATTCTAAATCCATAGCTAGTAATCCAGCAGGCTACAGGAAAGCCGCAATCACATTACAGATTGTCAGTTACGATTGCTGATTGTCGATTCTATTTTAGCCTTAAGATAAATTTCCACGAGCTGTTTTAACCGGCTATTTCAGTAACAAAAAGGATCAGGTGATCAAAATGGAATTCGTCAATTTTGACTACGTGATCCTTTTTGTCGTTGAAACAGTCGGTTTGAGTAGCTCGTGAAAATTTACCTTTAAGTTTGTTCGCATTTTGCTTGCACTGGTTGGATTTGTTTGCGCTTTCGTACTTTCGTTTCCTTTTTCTCTCTTGAATATTACGTATGTGTATGTAAATTTTTTAAGATTTTAAACAACGCGAACAAATCTATAACATAATTTATTACATAGAACAGGCCCATATTGTGCATTCTGTTGTAATCACAGAAATCTATAGAAATCTAATTGTAATCATAATTTCGTCAAGTTATGTTCGTAGTACTTTTTCTCTCATTTTATTGCATTAATTATTTTATTTCCTAATTAAAAATTGTTTAGTAAATTGCTTAATTTATAATAATACGCTTAATACATTTAATTCGTAACAGTTTTGCATGATTGCTATCGTAAATTCGAGATTATCTCTAACAAGTGTACGTCAACATTATAAAGTAAACATTACTATATGTAATAATCAATAATTGTATTATAATAATATTTATTATCGTAGTTATTGCATCAAGTATGTCGATTCTAAATACGCTTCATCGAGCAGGAACGTTGGTACGAGCGAATTTAACTCGCAAAGTAAGTTTTTTTCAACAATTTGTAAGCCTATATTCTTCAAGGATATTTGACCAAACTTCGATTAACTTTAGTCGGCGATTAGCTTATCAAGAAATATCTACATTATTTTGTTAATAAAGTAATTTTGTTTATTAATAAAGTTTGTTAATTAATAAAGTAATTTATTGTTTAAATCTGAGATAATAATTAAATTGTATAATTAAGAATTTTGTTTATAGTAACTCTACTAGTTGAAATATCACCGATTAACTTAATCAGTAATTAATTCAATTGGCAGAATGGTTTAATGCAAGATTTCTAATTATACAATTCACTATCCCTAATTTAATTTTTTTTTATGTATCAAATAAAATTTAATTATTCTGTCTATGTTGATAAGCTAGTACAGATATTGCTCAATGAATTAATCGCCACTTAAGTTACTCAAAGTTTGATCGAAGTCGCCTTTATAGATATAAATTGCTTGCAGCTTGATCCAGCGAGAGCCATCACGTTTTCGCTTACACGTTATTCCGAGGAAGGAAATGTAACTAAAGATGATAGCTCAGCTACGAAGACTCCTAAAGTTGCATGTGTACCAATTGTATCAGTAGAGACTAGCATTAAATATATGAATAGCGATGGTAAGAAATTGTTCATAAACTTTAAACGCAATAATTGTTTAACAATTGTAAGATTTATTTTACTTATCATTATCATGTGATTTGGAATTATTCCAAAATGCAGCTTACAAACAGACTTACGGAGATGATCCAGTATGGAAAAAGTATAGAAGAAATTTTAAAGGACAAATTCCACCTAGAAAAACTCGAAAAACTTGTATAGTACGTATGCAGATCTTTCTCATATTATTTACAATACGATAATATAATACTTTTAATAATGCAGTATAATTAATTAGAGAAACGGCCAAATTTCGACTGGAAGTCCATGTCCTATATGTAGAGACGAATATCTTGTACTTGATCATAGAAACGTCAAATTGCTTGAGCAATTTATCAATAAACATAACGGAAGCGTTTTGAGTTACTCGTAAGTATTTAAGGCCAAAATATAAACTTTTGTATAACGCATAAAGCATAAATTATTTCATGGAAAAAAAAGGAAATGAAGGATTTTGTTTTATTTTTATGCATTATATGTTATGCATTATGGAAGCACTTTCTGCTCTCCTCATCAACATTTCTCTTTAAACATTTCTGTTATATTAGCACTTACATTTTTTTTATATATATATATATATATCTTATGGATTTAAATATCTTTATAGGAAAACAAATATTTGTCAAAGGAGACACAAACAACTTTTAGTTGCATTAACTAAGGCCAAGGATTACGGGACTATTACATTTGATCTTCTCATAAGACAATATGATTATTCAGAGTGGAACCCATCAAATAATTAATCTTTAATTATTTATATTGTCATATTATATCTGTATATTCCTTTATTAAATATGAATGAATCCAAGGAAAATATGGAAAAGATAGAGTCTACATTTGTCATTATAGGAGGCGGTATAGCTGGAGTATCTTGCGCTGAAGGATTGAGTTTCCTCGCTCCAGATGCAAGCATAATTTTAATTACCGCTAGTCCCCTGATAAAAGCTGTGACAAATATAATCCCATTAGGCAGAACATTAATGCATTTCGACGTAGAAGAAAAGAGCGCAACAGTCTTAAGTGAGAAGCATAAAATGTTACGAGTTATTCATGATACTGCAGTTAAAATTGATATAATCAAGAAGCAGATAGAAATCGGCAGTGGAAAAATCATAAGTTTTAAGATGTTATGTCTTTGTACTGGCGCCAAACCCAAACTGATAGCCGAAAACAATGATTTCGTTATAGGTATTCGTGATACGGAATCCGTATTACAATTTTCTCATAAACTTAGAGACGCGAGAAGAGTCATTATTGTTGGCAATGGAGGAATTGCTACCGAAATAGTGCATGAAGTTAAAGGCGTCGACATGATCTGGGTAATTAAAGACAAACACATTTCTGCAACTTTTGTCGATCCTGGAGCTGCAGAATTCTTTTTAGACAAGATTTCTTCTAAATCTGATGTATCAGGAAATCTTAATAAAGATTTGCCAACTAAAAGAATGAGATATGTTGTATCAGATAACACTCCAGTTAAAAATGGGGCTGCTCTTGGCCCGGATTGGCACAATAGTTTTGATATGAGCGGTACCCATTTTACGCCTACAAATGTCCAAGTTGAATATGAGTGCGAGATATCCAAATTATTTACTTTAGATGAACGAAAACAGTTCGATTCCACAGAAGAGTGGCCAATTTATGCGCAACTAACGAACGGTAAAATTATCGGGTGCGATCTTATTATCTCAGCAACAGGTGTTACTTCAAATTCCAACATATGCGGGTTGGAAGAGCTTGAAAAAGGAGAGGATTCAGGATTGTTAGTGGATTGGAAGCTGGAAACTTCAAAGCAGGATATTTACGCTGCCGGAGATGTGTGTACTGTCGGTTGGCCGAAAGCGAAACATTGGTTTCAAATGAGACTGTGGACGCAGGCTCATCAGATGGGCCGTTACGCCGCAAAATCAATGGTCTCGAATTTACGAAACGAAGACTTCTTGCAAGACTTCTGCTTCGAACTTTTCACTCACGTGACCAAATTTTTTTCCTATAAAGTTGTTTTACTTGGCTTATATAATGGGCAAACATTAGGAAAAAATTACGAGATACTTTTGCGAATCACAAAGGATCAGGAGTACGTTAAAATTATTTTACAGGATGGCAAAATGCAGGGAGCAGTGCTCATTGGAGAAACGGACTTGGAAGAGATGTGTGAAAATTTGATACTTAATCAGTTGGATTTAAGTATGTATGGCGAAGATTTGTTAAATCCTGATATTGATATTGAAGATTATTTTGATTGATATATCATTAACCTAATTGCGATCCATCTGCTCGTCAGAAATACGACATATACATATAATTTCTATTGTGATTGTTTGGCTTATAATATTTATTATTACTATGGCACATAAAATATGATTATTTTATAAAATATTCGCAGTCTTTTATATATACAGTCTTTTAAGCACACAAATTTTAATTTATTTCTGATTAGAAAACAAACTATACATTTCAATTATGTTGAATCAGATCTTTTAAATTTAAATATAAGTATTAAAATTTTCTTTTTTAATCATTAGCATACATTATAGTATTATAATCTATCATTATAACTCTTAGTTTACATATATAATATACAATTTAACGTAATATTCTAAAGTTATAAGTACTACTTTTCTTACAAGTTTACATTACACTTAAAGTAAAATTGTAATTTACAAGTTACTAATTCTACTTTTACCTAACAAATTTTAAAAGTAATATTTTGTGCACATACGTTCTTTGTGTTTCAGTAGGAATAGCTACTAAACTACCGTTTTTTAGTTCAGTTACATAAAATAAGATCTTGTTTAATACAGGTTAAATTAAAAAATATTATAAAGAACAATAATAATTAAATAATAAAAAACTAAAATTCATAAAGACTCGTTTGAATAAAATGGTTTGTAAAAACATATAAATTAATGAAATATTGCATAAATTTAAATTTGTAATGTAATATGTATTATTAATATTATACATATATATATTTCTTATATTTTTAAAATGAATAATAATGAAAGCTTATTCAAAAATAATAAGTATTTCATGCAGATATTTTATCAGGTTCATTGTTCGGTTTTATCAATAAACCTTACGTTCTTTTGAACATTTTCAGCTTTCGTAACTAACGCGTTATTCCGCATACTAGATTTTTTCAATGACATATGATTTGAGCAATTTTCAGTAACTTCTGTTGTTAATTTAGCTAAGTCATTATTAATACTGTCTATTGAAATAGCATCTTTTTCTTTGCATTCGTCTGCATCTTTATTTGAAGAGATGTTCTTTACGTCGTTCGACATGTCGATAACAGTATTATTGGCACTGTTTATTGAATTTGCACTTACATCCTCGCACTCACTCGAATCTTTACTCTGAAAGATATTTTTTAAGGACTCGATAATATCTTGCATCTTACCCAATGATTCAACGATTGATTTAGTGTCGTGGTTTTGATATCGATGGCATAATTTTTTCAACGTTTTTGCGGCGACTTCGATTTGAGTGAGACATGCATTTACATTTTCCTGTTGATCGTGTATTAAGGATGTATCATTCATCGTCGCTTCCAGCATCGATGCGTCCATCGAGAACTGGTGGATACTCTCATTCAATTGTCTCTTTACAGGGGTCATATTTATCGAGATTTTACTGTTATTTAACGAATCTTCAAATACTTCTGAATGCTTACTTTCGTCACACTCCCAGTTTAATTTACTACTCTGCAGTTCCTTTATCGAATCTTCTATATCGTTGTTCCTCAGCCGATAAACCCAATCCAAAAAATCCGTCGCTTGCCACAACGTTTCCATCGAATTAGTCCTATCACGAACGCGAATTACTGACTGCAAATTCTTTTTCACTACTGTTTGTTGTTGTTCAAATTCCTAGAATTCGGAAAAAAATTTAGAGCAAAAGTATAACAATAAAAATTGCGTATAAAATATATATACAAGCAATCGAAAGACTATATTTTTAATAATTTTTTGCATGAGAAATTGTGGGTTCTGCATACAATGATTTTAAACAATTGTACAGTATGAAATGAAACGTAACTTTATTGTAGTTTGGAAAGCTCTCGAGATAAGCTACAAGAATATGTAA